GCGCCGATAAAAACAGAAATCTTTATTTTCATTTAGGGTGCTAAGGTCACTACAGTCAATCTTATTTTCACAATCTTCATGAAAAAGTTTAGCAAAATATCTCATCCACCTTTATTGAATATCATCTTCTAAGAAAAATATTTTTTGATCTTCATCCTTAATACACTTCACTTGAATTAAATCCTTACTACTATCTCTTTATTTGACTAATTTATACATATATATTTCTCTCTCCTTAGTATCTAATCTATTATATAAATCATTAAAAGCTAAGGTCTTTGCGTCGCATATTATTTTCTTAGATTCCTTACAAGCCTCTTTATATCTTTTCCAATTATTAAAATTTTTAGAATTAAAGCAATTTTTATAACAAATTTTCTTATTTTTAATCTTTTCTTGCACATTTGGATTCTACCACCAACTATTTTTACTATTAGGAGCTTTTCCCTTTGATACTCCAAGCATCTTTTATAATATTCTTAATATCACTAGCCACTTTTTCCCGCATAACATTAGCATCCTCATGCACAGACAAAATCTTAAGATTTAAAATCTTACTCTAAAAAATATTTTTGTTAATATTCTTTAAATGCCTTCATCTAATCCTAGAATATCATTTTATTTTATTTTTTATTTTCTTCCCTTTTATCTTAAAGTCCAAAACTAATAATTAATGTTTGGTACATAAATTTTCACTCGGAATAACTTTACAATCTTTGCAATCTAAACGATCTAATTTTCTTATAAGAAAATAATCAATCTGAGTTGTACTATATCCATTTTTATAAGTGATGAGATGCTCATTCCTTTTCTTAAATAAAGTATAAGCAATTAAAAAATCATAAGCTAAAAAAAAAATCTAATATGGTCTTGCCACCTTCATTTGTCGTTTCAAACTCATGGACACCATGAATGCTTTTAAAATCATCTACCTCTCTATCAATATGTCCATTTAAATTTCCTCCAATAAAAACTCTTTCTTAAAGAGGTATCTTTTGTATTAATTCTTTTATGTCATTCCAAAAATTTAATTTAGAACTCATATTCAAACCTACTTGATGAGCATAAGCACTTATAATATTAAACATCTTTAAAGCTATAATTATATCTCCAATCATATTAATTTGTATAACATTATCTTTCAAACTCTTATATATAATAACACCTACACCATTTTTAGTACGACTTTTACCCGAATACCAAAGTTTAAATCATAAACTATCAATTTCCTTAGCCTTCTCTCCAACCCATTTAGTTTCTTGAATGCACAAAATATTTAACTTCATATGAATCATAATATCTATTAATTCCACATGTTGTCAGTGGAGCCCGGCACCACTACTTTTCTGCACTTTGGGTTGTATATTGAGTGACACTTGTCATGGACTTTGGACACTCTATTCTGTGACTTGTTGTGATGTCGTGTTTACTTTGATTGCACAGTAAAAATGACATATTTTTTATAGGTTTCTTTCTTGCATGTGCATATGCCTGACTTGCTAGGCTCTTTAGGAATAATTTTTTTTACTCGTAATTAAAATTAAAATTTTAGGAATTAAATAACATAGAAACATAACGATCTAGGGAATAGCCGGAATCGTCCGGAGTCGCATGCATATCAATGCATCATCTCTTCCTTATTTAGACACTTCCTCGCATGCGGGTAGAGTTTAGATAATCCGACCTATGAAGATGAGGTTCTGAACCTGCGGAAGCCTAGTCTTTCTAAAAAATATTATTTTTATAAGCCTTCTTAAAATTTCATGCATTCCTGATTTGGATATTTTGACCAGCACGCATTGCATTAGAAACTAACTAAAATTAAAATTTAATTGCATTAGTTCTAGATGCATAACACCATTCATAAGTACATGGCCAATTAAGACAAAAAATCTTCTAGCTTGGCCTAATTGATCTCTGGACTCACTGAACCCATATTTTTAATTTATATTGGCCATAGCTTTTTCCGGCCATAGGGTTCGACAGATTTAATTAAGGATTCTTCATCAGTCATTAGCTACAATGAATGATCAAATACTTCAATCCTTTTTTTTTTAATACTTCAATCCTTTGAACATCACTTATGCAGGTGCAAATTGGTACGAAGTAAGGAATGGAATCACATTTAGTCATTTTTCTGGTTTTCATAAGATGCTAAATAAAAAAAACCACTTGATACATGATTTACAATCTTACCTTTTTGTGTTTGTCTCAAGAAAGATTTCGGTCAACTCTTTTGCTTTATCTGTTAATTCTTTTCCAAGTGAAATTTATTAATCAAAATTCAAATACTTTGAAAATAAAAAAGTTCCACTTCTAGTCAGAATGTCAAATATAAACATAGATTGTATTTTCTTTTCTTATATCAGATTTTCTTTTCTTATAAAAAAGTTCCTTCTTTGGCATTTCAAAAAGCTACAGGAAACTAACTTGTCAAACAAAATATTGAAAAGTTCATAGAATTATTCATCAACAGCATGCACATCTAAAATAAGACGCCGAGCAAGTAGAACTTTATTATGATCTAAGGCAAGTCGTCACCTGTAAGTTGCTTCTAATTGCCAGCTCACAAAGATGTGAATTATTCACAAGGCTGGAACGCATTTTGGTTAGCTGTCCTTCATCCAGTCCATCAAAGGAAAGAAAACTGTGCCGACCAACAACATATTTTAAGAATGCATCCCCAAGCACCTCAAACCTTTCTAGAGAAAAGCGTTCCATGCATCTCTCTGTAGTGAGTGCTTCTAAGATCTGGAATAGAGGTCATCTCAGCAAGAATGACAGAAAAATGCCAGTAACAGTTAGTATAAATATAAAGTGCCACACTAATCAGTTAAAAAGAATTGATAAGTTCTCACAATATCAGCTCTAATTCGAGAAGCCTCCGAGAAAGATGCAGATAACACTTCCTTTAGCTGAATAGCAACAAGCAAATTCTCTAGTCGATGCATTAAAGAAGGCAACAAAGACAAAGAGCTTCCTATATCTTTAGAAAACCCAACTATCTTCAATATACACAACTCAGGAGGCAGCTCCACAAAATATTCCTCCAATTCACGAGCTTCTGCTTTAATACAAATTTAAAGTAGTACAACATAAGGAAAAAAAAAAAACAGTAAATTCAAAGGGATGAGCAGAAATTCCAGGGCTTCATCAAGTGCTGAATCGATGGAACTCTGTAATTCTTAATGAAAGTCTAACGCAATCTGCAATAAACCAGCAATAGTAATTTAGAAAGTTCTTCAGACGAGCCAGTTAAGATTTTTATAGTGCTTCTGAAAGTGCTAAAAATTCCAGTTCAAGTCACCATGAATTTTGAGAATTTTAAGTAGGTATGACAATTTTGTTCATGATCCTAGGTGAGCATCCAATCCCTTATAAGTTCAATTTTGTATTAAAATTTATGACATGTGTCATATTTTTAATTTTCATTTTGTCACTACTTTGAGAGTTTGTATCATATCATTTTAATTTTTTCTTCAGACCGCAAGTAACAAAGCCGGAGATGGAGACAGAACTGCGACCAAAGCCTAGACGAACGAAGTCCTTGTGGAAGAAGCGCTCCTCGCGGACAGAAGACGAAGCCAGAGATGCAGATGGAGCTTACCCGGAGGCAGACGGAGCTTGCGAAGTCGAAGAGAACCAGCCTGATTCCTTTACGGAGAAGGGAACCCTAGTGACTGCGCGACCCGAGTCTTATAAGGACTCAGCTCGATTCGGGTCAAAAGAAGGAGATCTAATTTTTAGGCATGTGATGAAGCGGATTCCATGATTATGTCATGGTTGTGGAATTACATGACTCCATAAATTAGCGATACATTTATGTTCCTCTCCACTGCAAAGAACATATGGGATGCCGCCAGACAAACGTTCTCAAAAGCTCGAGTTGACTACATGAACTTCAATAGTCCACAAGAGATCGATGTATTTATTTGCATATTGATTTTGACTGTCGGGTTGATTACAATCATTGCTAATTCCCCAAATACATTTGTCAACAACCTACTATGCTCGTTGTATGCTTCCTTTCAATATTCATAGGGATCTACTACATTTATCTACAAGATGGTTATTAAAGATTGTAGGGACTTCATAGTATTCGTGGTATATTTCTGATAGCCATTACAAACCTTCCTCTCTACTTGTAGTTTAGATATTGCATGCATGGAAGATCTCCTATGATGAATCATATGGACTCATATGCAGTACTAAGGAGAATATTACACATCAAGTGTCATTACTTGTAGGAGTTATATTTGCTAAGATCCTCGCTCCTTTAGCAATGACCAAGTCATATATTTCCTTTAGTTTTCATTGCTTGCGGAATTGGAATGTAGGCGAGCTATGTTTTGTCACCATCTTCCTTATGCATGTTGATTGATGAATTGCAACATTTGCTTGCGTGTATTTCAGTACTTGTGGTGGCCGTCGTTTGTATCTATTGGTTGTAGGGTAATCATTGTTTTCACATCTTAGCCATTGTCATTGCTCATGAGTAGGCTAATGTGTTCACTATGGTTCTTGTAGAGAAGTTGTTAGATCCCTCTACCTTGCTTATGAGTATACCCCTCATGAACAATTCATTGTACGCATCATATAATCTAAATGTATTATTGATGATTTCATCATTATTGACAAATTCCTTAATTTACAAATTTTATCTTTGTTCATTTGCATTCAATTGGAATTTCTAATTTCAATTTTATTTAAAGCACCATATCATACCCCTTGTTGTCCAAGCAAAGTTCAAGTTCCACATGATGTCGTTCAGTTCAAGTACAAGTCTTTTGCAGTTAATTTGGGTCCCCTGTCACTGTTCACACAAAGTTCAAGTTCAAATCAAGTTGGTTGAGTTTGATTCAAGTCTTTGTGATCAATCAAGTTCAACTTTTCTTGGTAAAGTTTGCTTTAAATCTTTTGCTTAATTATTCAAATTTGAAATTAGTTTATTTAGTGTTCAAGTCAATGTCCAAACAAAGTCCCATGTAATTGAAGATATCTTCTTTTTGTTCAAGTCCCCTGCATCTTCAAATGAAATTTCAGCAAGCTCTCGGCGTCTCCTCTGTTTACGAAAAACTACAGGAGTCTGGGCCTTCCCACCACGCTAAAAAAAATGTGTATGGTAGGTGTTCGTAGACACCATGGCCATATTCTTCGTCCCCCATCACGCCAAAAAAGGCGTGTATGAGCCTTCAAAGGTAAGTATTTGAAAATGCAGTTATTTTCCCCGCCACACTACGAGAGCATGTACAGGGCTCACCCGCCCAGTCGTAGGCACCACACTGGGTTCCCTTCCCATCATGCTAAGAAAAGCGTGCATAGACGATTTTCGATGCGCTGTGAAAGCCAAAAATAGGACTTTAAGTGATTACCCGCTTTGTCGCGGGATCACGACGAGCTTCCTTCCACCATGCTAAGAAAAACGTGTATAGGTGGTTGCTCGCCGCGATGGAAATGCTAAAAATGGGCTCTCAAAGTTTTAGGGATTGAGGGGTTATACCTTTCATGGAGAGATCAACGGCGGCGACACATGTTTGTAAAATGCACGAGTCATAGAAATGAACATAAATGCACATTCTTATAAAATCTCCACTCTCTTTTCTTTGCATTTTTCTTTTTTTTTCTCCTTTTTCTTCTTTCTCTTTTCTTTTTCTTATTATTATTATTATTATTATTATTATTTGAAATCCTCCTTTTTTTTAATTTTCTTCCTTTCTTCTTTTCCTCTCCCTTCTTTTTTCTTTTTTTAATGAATATAATCTTGGCAATAATATTACTATAACAACAATCAAAGCTAATAATAATCAACCATTAACTAATACTAAAAGTTAACTACTACAACAATAATTAATACTAATGGTAATTAATCATCATCTAATATTAATAGTTAATCGCTATACCATTAGTAATTAATTAGTGTTTAAAAATAACAGTTAATTATATTAATTAATACTAATGATAATAAGAAAAAGAATGAAGAAAACTTACTGTTTGGGTTAGGTTGAGTGAAGGGATGAGTGGGTATACTGATTTGAGTGGGTTTATGAGTGGGGCTTGTTATAGATTGGAGAAATAGAGGGAGATGGATCGGCCAGGCCTGTAGTGGGGTTCGACTAAGGAGGAATCGACAGATAAGGTGTTGGGTAGAGGTAAGGTGAAAGCTCTCTCTCTCTCTCTCTCTCTCTCTCTCTCTACCGATGATTGGATGAAGAAGAGGAAGGAATCGGTGGCCTCGGATTCGACTATAGGTGCTAGGTTGGTGGGTGAGGACTGGTTGGTTTGAATGGGAATAATGGAGGGGGATCGAATGAACGTGGAGGAAGCTTTTGACTAGGGCGCATGTTCAATTGAAGGCCTGGCGCGGGTATTCGGCTGTGGACTAAGATGGGTTAGAGGGAGTTGAGGCGAGGTGGATTAAGAGGGGATGGACGGCAATGGTTTGCATACAAGGAAGGTCGTCGAGGATTGCGGCTTCGGTCTTGAGGAGAAGATAATGAGGAAGAGGGAAGGAGGTGGAAGTCGGGAGGATCGAGGACTAGTATGCGGGAATGAGGTGTCGGCTTTGGAGGTCGTAAGCAGCGAATGTATTCGAAGTTTAAGGCTCGCGGTCATGTGGAGGTCAGAGAGAAGGAAGTGTATGAATGGGAAGAAATGAGGGCTTCACATGCCTTCTCATTTTAATGACAGTGAGAGACGAAGCAGGTGGGAAGTCGTATGAAGTGACCATTCGGCGCCGTTTGCAGAGATATGGGGCACTGTAGCAACGTGATTTCTGCAGGATTTGCGCAAGTTTCGTACACAGGTAATGATCTCAACGAATTTTTTATTTCCATTTTTGTTGTGTCCTGCTGTGTGGGTCAACAAAAACTAGTACTTTAATCCAAACAACCTCATAGTCTCTCAAACTCCTTTTCTTTTGACAAGCTGTTGGTTTCGTCGAGCCTTATCCAGCTAATATCCATGACAACTTTTTCATTGTTTTGACATGGAAGGCTTGCGACAAGAAGCAGAGAAGGAGAAGCAAATAGGTTGTATCAAATATGAAGAATGAGAGAGGAGATGAGTGAACAGTTGATGAAGATCAAGTTTGAGAGATCGAACAGGCAAGTGTGGCTGCGCAAAGGAGAGGAAGGTTGGGTCATTGGTGTGAGGGCCAACGATAGAAACGATATGCCCAAGGGGGGTGTCATGCGAGTGTGGACGAGATCAGGAGGGAGAGTCGTAGGCCATGGTTTGGGAGAAAGCAAAGAGGGTGATGAGACACAACATGCACAAACGAGGGGGACAATCGCTTCAATGTTTAATTAAGGTTTTTATATTAAGATTTTTTTTAAGGATGAAAATGCGGGATTTCTTTTTTATTTTAATTTACTTAAAATTAAACTTGAATAGTGAAAAAAAAAATAGAGAAAATTTGTGTCAATTTACTCATGTAATTTCTCATTGCTCGCAAATGTTAAAAATTTAATCCTCTCGTACATGGGTAAATTTTTGTACTTTTTCTCATGTGGCAAAAAGAGCAATTTTTGCATCATTTCAAATATTTTTTATGTTCCAATGCATTCAGCATAGTCTCTTTAGCAAAATGGACAATTGTTAAATAATTTTGATGCCTGCAATATGTTTTAAGTTGGACTTATGTGACATTGTGTTTGTTGGCTGTTAATTTCATCGATGCATATAGGCCAACATTACCATTTCTTTACTATATGGCTATATGCGATGCTTATGCTATTTTGTGCATAGAAACCAGGAATAATAACTAATTTTGATATGCACTAGAAAACACCAGCTTTCTAACCAATGGATTAGTGCACAAGCAAAAATGTTCAGAAATATAAAGATGCAAAGATGCTCAAGTGTTTATTTTACTGGAAAAATAGAAGGGAAACTTGAGAAAAAGTTTCATTAGACAGTGATTCACCATTTAATGTCTATCGGATTTAAATCTAAGAAATAACGGTTCACACCCACATAAGAGTAAAAAATAACTCAACATTGAAAGTGACATAAAAGTTAAATTTCTAATAAACTAATTGAATGTCACTCATAAGCTTGAGCTTTTGTTATTCCAATTTCCTATTAAGTGTTATTAGAGGTATCAATTTGATTAGGATCAAGTGGTTCATATATTTTATGGCTCTCATTTGCCTGGGCTGCTTCTACATGTTTGAGAAAAATTCAAGAGCAAATAGTAATGTAGAGGACTCTAACGAGAGAGAAAGATTATTTAGATCCACATAATCTCAAATCAATAACAAAGTACAAGTTGATTTCTTAAAATATTAATACCGCTTACTAATTAGGCTAAGCTTTTGGGTCTATAGGCATCCATCCATTAACACATCGGGCTTAACTTGGGTATCTCGTATCCCACCCTCCTAATATAGTTCTACGAAAAAAAAAAGGTTCAAATAAATATAATTTATTATTTAATGATAAAGGTGGAGGTTTGCTTAGTTTACTTTATTGAACTTCTGAGACGGTGAAATTTAAAGTAAACAATAGGTAGTTAGCAAAATGAGCTTTTCAAGGTGCAGCAACTAAAATAGAGAGAAAATTTTGTAAGAAAAAATGAAAAATATCTTGCATTAGACTTTCATACCTGTAATCTCTTGAATTCGATTGTGTAACAAGTTGCGCAGAAAAAATAATGGTTTGGCCTTCAAAAGTGGTTGTTCAGGGAATGCAAGTTGAACTCCAAACCTGATTCAAACGTGCAAGATAAACTTTGGGAAGGAATCTAACATCAAACTATCCTATAGGGGTATAAACAAGTCGAAGTAAAGCAAGCTCCAATTTGATCAACTTGGTTAATTAAGCAAACAAGTATAAATTTTTTATTTGTGTTTCGCTAGTGTACTTGTTAAACCAAATACAAGGTGTTTGCAACCATGAAACCTACTTACAATTCTAACACAGAACAGGATATATATATATATATATATATATATATATATATATATATATATATATAAAGACTAAAAGAAATATTGATAGAAATAAACACCACACTTAAATGAACATTTGGAATGGTGCTACATTTGCTTCGTAAGATCAGGAGGCCTAAGGTTTTATTGGTTCATCTGTGTGCATAAATTCTCAGAATTACTTCATGAAAAAGATTTGTGTCAGAATAGGGCTCAAAGCCCATAAATCATATAATATTAATTACCTATGTATTACAATTATTTTAACGGATATGAAAAGGCTTAAGGCCCATGATAACCAAAATTTTGATCAGAGATAAAAAAAAAAAAATTTCCATACTTTAATAGTCACAATTAGAAGAACTGTGATACAGGAGAGGGAAGCATGTCAGGGGCGGGAAGTGCAAGTGATTCGGTCCCCCTTGTAAGATCCATTAAAACTATCATTACATATATGAGAAGAGGGATTAAGGAAGGGATTAATTAGGATATGTTTCCTAATTAAAATGTACAAATTTGAGGGCTAATTTGAATGAGATTACTTAGGAGATGTTTCCTAATTAAAAGGGAACATTTTGGGGTTGAATTAGATGAGATTAATCAGGAGATAGTTTCTAATTGAAGATTGATTTGGGGCCTGATTTAGGGGCTAATTTGAGAGTGAATTGGGAGAGGGTTGTTTTGGAATTTGTTATTTTATTGTTTGTTATAAGTAGTAGGATTTAATATTATGTTTGTATGACGAATTTGATTTGAGAGTGCTGTAGTTTTCTTTTTGTGAGGGATCCTAGTAGCATCTAGGGTTTGAGAGAGAATGTCCTCATCTCGAAAGAGGATCATTGCATCTTGCTTTGTTCGTATTTGATTTTCTATCAATATAAAATCTGGTTTGTGCTGAATCTCTTGTAGTTTCTTGATGTTTATGATACTAAGGCGCATCAAATTGGTATCAGAGTGGTGTCCTGGACCAAAATCGCAATTCTCTTCGCTGATTTATGCTGCGTACAGGGAGGACGATTTTTTGTTGTTTGAAGACCATAATTGCTGATTTTTGCTGTTTGGAACTTAGATAAGTGAATGACAGCAAAAAAGGTTGATTAATTGGAAGGGAAAGTGGAGCAAATCAAATCCGGGATGGAGGAAAGATTTTCAACTATGGATAATCGGATGGAGAGCCGACTGAGAAGGATAGAAGAGATGATAAAGAAGATCATGGAGATGCAATCCAGAGCCCCACCGACGGTTCCGATTACTAAACCTCGACACGATTTGACAAGGGTTCCCTTGGTCAAATCGAAGGAAAAAGAGATCAGACGGGAGAAGTTCGATCAAGAACCATCCCCCGGGGCTCCGAAAAAGGGTAGATCGGGGTTTCCGAACGAAGGGACAGCATGAAGAGAGTTCAATGATGCGATTTATGGAGGAGATAATAGGGCGACCGACCACTATGAGAGGCCGTTTGGATAAGGGAAGTGGAAAATCGAAGAGAGAAGCGGACAGGCCGAGCCATGGGAGGTGGATGGAAGAAAGGTGGGATGGCCACCCTCGATACACAGGAGGAACTATCTATGGGAGATAAAGTTGGGGTGGAGAAGCGAAGGTGTGGAAGTTTAAGATGCCAGTGTTCGAAGGGGAGGATGCCCATGGGTGGGTATACCGGGTGGAGAGATATTTTGCGATGAATGGGTTAAGAGAGGAGGAGAAGCTTACAGTTGCATGTATGGAGGGGAAAGCTCTCGCTTGGTTCCAGTGGAGAGAGGCTAGATACTCAATCCGTTCATGGGAGGAGTTTAAGGATTGCTTGTTGGAACGTTTCCAAGCCATTCGGAAAGGAGACCTACACGAGCAATTCCTTGCCTTGACACAGGAGAGGACTGTCATGGAGTACAGGGAGAGGTTTGAGTTGTTATCAAGGAGGTTGAGGGAAATTCTGTATGCAGTATTGGAGAAAAAATTTATGAAGGGCCTCAAGTCCAACATACGAGCAGACCTTCGATTGCTGAGATCGAGGGGGTTGAAGAAGACGATGGAGCTAGCAAAGATAGCAAAGGATTGAAGGCAGATGGAGAGAAGCGGTACGAGCGGGGTGCGGGAGGCTCTTACAGAAGTACCTCAACTTCATTTGCATGAAGACCCATATGGTATCATTTTAGCAGGAGGCATCAAAGGAGAAGAGTGGGGGAGTTCGCCCTAGGGCAAATTTCAGGTGCCTCACAGAGGTAGAGGTACAGAACAAGAAAGTGAAAGGTCTGTGTTTTCACTGTGATGAGAAGTATGCATCAGGACATCTGTGCAAGGATCACACACTTCAAGTTCTTTTGGTTTGTAAGAGGAAGAGATTGATATTGAGGACCAGGTAGAGGAAGCAGAAGAAAGAAGAGAACATTTACACCTTGATGTGACAGAAGTGTCCCTGAATTCTGTAGTGGGACTTACTCCAAATCACACAATGAAGATAAGAGGACAGATCAGGGAACAACCAGTGGTGGTCTTGGTGGATAGTTGGGCTACTAATAACTTCATCTCCAACCGGATCGTGGACCAGTTGGGATTGAAGTTGGTGGATACAGGGAGCTTTGCAGTTATGATGGGAACAAGAATGGTAGAGAAAAGTAGGGGGATTTGCAGGAGGTTGGTGCTGAAACTCCAGGATATACAGATAGTGGACGATTTTCTTCCCTTGGATTTGAGAAGCACTGATGTGATCTTAGGGATGAAGTGGTTATAGACGATAAGGGAAAATGTGGATTGGAAATCTCTGACTATGGAGATTCAAATAGAGGGGAAAGGTGCTACTGTGGGGAAATGCCAATTTGTGCAAAACTAAAGATTCACTCAAAACCATGGTCAAAGTGATATAGGGAGCAGGGCTGGGCTACTTGATAGAGTTGTAGAGTCTAGAGGAGTTCCAAGACTCAGAGTTGATGAAGGTGCCTGATTGTGTACAACAGCTTCTGCAATAATTTTATGAGGTCGTTCAGCAGCCTAACGGTTTACCCCCACCCCAGGCGCACGAGCACACCATTACCTCGAAAGACATAACGCCGCCTATCAATGTAAAACCATATCGATACCCACAAATTCAGAAGGATGAGGTCGAGAAGCTCATCAGAGAGATGCTTGAGGCAAGAATTATCAAGCCTAGTGTGAGTCTTTTTTTACCCCCATGCTACTAGTAAAAAAAGATGAAAGTTGGAGGTTTTGTGTGGATTACCGGATCCTGAACAAGGAAACTGTGCTGGACAAGTTTCCTATCCCCGTAATCGATGAGTTGTTAGATGAGCTATTTGGAGCAGTCATTTTCTCGAAAATTGAACTAAAGTCAGGATACCATCAGATCAGAATGAAGCTAGGGGATGTACACAAGACAGCTTCTAAGGCTTATGAGTGTCAGTACGAGTTTTTTATGATGTCTTTCAGCTTCACTAATGCCCCAACCGCTTTTCAGTCTCTCATGAATTGGATTTTTCAGCCCTAGCTAAGAAGTTTGTCTTGGTATTTTTTATGGCATTTTGATCTACAGTCGTATGGAGGCAGAGCATCTGGGTCATCTGAAGATGGTACTAGAGACGTTGAAGGAGCACCAGCTATATGCCAACTTAAGGAAATGTTTGTTTGCACAACCACAGGTGAAATACATGGGACATGTGTTGGGAAAAGCAGGGGTAAAAACAGATGAGTCCAAGATTGAGGCTATGTTGGATTGGCCTTTACCTAAAAACCTGAATGAGCTAAGAGGGTTCTCACCGTATACTACCAAAAGTTTGTGAAAGGATATGACACAATAGCATGGCCATTGACTGAGCAGCTGAAGAAAGACAGTTTCAAGTGGGGGCAGGCGGCTACACAGACTTTCGAGCAATTGAAGAGGGCGATGACCAGTGTACTAATGTTAGCACATCCCGACTTCAGCAAGTGCTCACAGCTAGGGCAAGACAAGTCTGTGTATAAAAGGGATCTGATGGTTATTGTCTTGGCTATTCAAAAATGACAGCCCTATTTGTTGGTGGCTATTCAAAAATGGCGCCCCTATTTGTTAGGGAGATATTTCTAAGTCAGGACAAATCAGGAGCGTCAGTGGTGGTTATCCAAGTTGCTTGGATATAACTTTGAGATATTGTACCGATTGAGCTTAGAAAACAAGGTAGTAGACTCCTTATCCCAAAAAGGCGAAGAGCTAGTTTGCAGCTTTCTTAGTACCCATGATCCTAGAGTGGGAAGCTTTGAAACAGGAGAGTGAACAGGATGAAGGACTGAGCAAGATCAAATCTGATTTGTTGCAGAGCCCGAATAGTCATCCTGGTTACACATTGAGAGGAGTCCAGCTGCTACATCAGGGGATATTTGTTTTATCGAGAGGATCAGGATACCTTCCCACGTTGTTATTAGAGTTTCACGACAGTGCAATTGGAGGACATTCAGGAGCTAAGAAAGCCTTCAGTCGATTGTCAGTAGAATTATACTAAGTGGGGATGTGTCGTGATGTAGAGGATTGGGTAGCCAAATGTCATGTGTGCCAAAGGCATAAGTACTTAACCATGACACTAGCACGGTTACTATAGCCTTTAGCCCTGTCAGAGAGCGTGTGGGAGGAAGTGACGATGGATTTTATTGAGGGGTTGCCGCTTTTTGAGAGATTTTTATTTATACTAGTAGTAGTGGACAAGTATGCACACTTTATCCCTCTGAAGCACCCTTACACTACGGTATCTGTGGCTTCTATTTTTATACGAGAGGTGATACGCTTGCATGGATTTTCAGAATCCATTGTGTTAGATAGTTAAAAGATGTTTCTTAGCCACTTTTGAAAGGAGTTGTTTCGTTTACAGGGTACATTCTTGAAAAGAAGCGCATCATACCATCCTCAGATGGATTGCCAAACAGAAGTGGTCACAAAAGCATAGAGACCTATTTGAGATGCTTTGTATCGGACACACCAAAGAGTTAGGCAAGGTGAATTGCGTGGGAAGAATATTGGTACAAAACTGCAAATCATATGCCATTAAATGGATTTTAATTGCTGGAAAAATGAACTTCTTCGGGAGGATAACATTTGCAAAAAATTTAGCGAAGCCACAGCAAGAACTTACTTGGACTTGAAGTGTTCTCTGTAGCTTGTATCCCCAGAGCCCTTTCGGCTGTAAGCATTGGTTTCAGGAAGGAGGCAGTCAACAAAATAGAAGAGTTGATTGTGGGGAACGAAAATTAAACTGTTTAAAATGTCAGAAACATTTTCTTGACAATTGAAAAGATTCAAAGTGTTTCTTCCCATGAGACCTCTTTCATAGGAAGCATGTTGCTCAAAAGCTGGTGATGATAGACAACGCTTCACAGTTACCCAGTCTATAGTTCTATTTTCTCCATACCTTTTCTCCCTGACAGGAAGTAATAGGTAAAACGTCGATGAAAGAGATGCATTGACCTCACCCAGAGCAACAGTGTCATTAAAATATTCAGATCTATCAAGAATTATTTTAAGAAACATTTCCTGGAAATTTTGAGCTAGAGAAATCTGCAAAAAATAAAAAGCACTAACAATGTAACTTCGCCAAATAAAGTACTAATTAAATCACGTGCAGCATCAACAAGAAAAAGCCCACCTCTTCCTTTCCAAATGTAACTATTCCACAATTCACAAAGCCTGACTTAACAATTCTTCCTCGAGCAAGATGCAAATCAACTTCCATTGCTTCAGCTTCTTTTGGAAGAGGAGCTTTGAGCAAAAGTCCGAAAGCATGATACTTCCTATCATCTGGTGCAGGAATAAATCTTATATAATAAAAGTATAGCTTTATCTTCTCTTCAAAATATGGCAATGGTCCTTTAAGAACAGTAGGAACTAGCATCTCATAAAGTTCTTCTCTCAGGTTTTCATCTGGAACAAACCGAAGAAAAAGAAAAAAAAATGAAGTGATAAAAGGGGAGTATGAAATGATTTAACCCACAAAATCAATACATAATAAGTAACAACTTAAACCTTCACTGTATTCACTCTCAGAAGAGGGTGTTGATGATTCCTTGTTCTTTGTATTACTGAATCCAGGCAGAAGAAAGTCTGACAAGGCACCCCTTTTATGTAATTCTATGCAGGCGTTCAAACATACGGCTCTCTTGGCTTCATCTTTTGAAGCACATGGTAAACTGTCAACCTGACGAAGCGGAGCATTGGGAGGAAGTATTAATCTGCAGATCGTCCCATCTTTGTCATCTATGAAAAAGAACTTTGGGGTAGGAGTAAAGTATCTGCAGCCCAACATAAATGTAATAAGTTAATTTCAGAAATTACAAGTATCCTCAACAATGAAATACAAAAAAAAAAAAAAGGTTCAGTACTTGTCTTGAGGAAGTTTTGCACAGTAGCAATGAAGAAGTGAAACGCTACATGCTGTACTTATAGATGCTCCAGTGTGATCAACTTTATAAATTGCCTCATCTAAATAATCAAAGGCCGCATCAGATGACCTACAAACAATTTCTTTGTTCATAACATGCTCTCCAGACATAAAATCATCAAGTAACTTCTCATCTTGTGTGTTTTCCCTGTCATTGTTTAAGGCAAGCAGAAATTCTTTTAGTTATTCGAAGAAAGAAAAAAAAAAGCGAGACCAACTGCTATCGCCTTAGGAATGTTAAAGTGAACCTTTCCAAAAGAAAGATGAACTCAGATTTCTGCATGCGTGCACGACCTCGAGACTGTATAAAACTAGCAACAGTTTGCGGTAGGTCAAACCTAACTACTAGGCAACAGGTTTTAATATCGAGACCTTCTTCAGCAACATTAGTAGCAACCAAAAGATTAACCTTCAAAAAAAAAAAAGTAATGAGAAAGGAGCCCAGTACCGCCAGGCCAAATTCCTTCCTCTCTTTGTCAGTAGAGTAGTATTAAAGTATGTATTTAAAGAATCGAAAACATAGATATAGCCAAGTGGATCAAAAACTGTGAAAATGGAGCTACAAATTAATGAATGATGTAAACAACAATACGCTACATAAATGTCAAATTTGTTGTGTAATACATTAGTTACCTATAAATATGCATAATCTATGATAGGGAGAGCTTCTTGTCCACTGCCACCAGAGAAAGGGAAAGTTCACATTGTATTACCAATTTGCCTTTTGAATGAATTTGTATGGGTGACTACAAACAAGACCACATTGTCACTTTGAACATTATGCATGCTTACATGGGTCTAAGGAAGTATTCCTAGGTTTATGTCTGCCAAGAAGTTCGAGTGGATGAGATACTTGACCTAATTGTAAGGTATGATCTTACTATCACATCCTGCATTCTATTCAAGGTTCTTTATACAGCATGTTGGAGGTCAAATGTAAAATACATTCAACCAACAAAAGGTAATGATCAAGAGGGAGCGAAGAAGAAAGTCTGTATACACAATTTGAGTAGTACACAGAAAACTTGGATCTAGAGAGCATTCAAAGGGCCACACAAAAAATTTATACTTATTCAATCATCGATTCTAAATCATAGGTCCTTATTCATAGAAATGGAGTTTAAAATATAAATTCAAATATTTGAAAGCAAATCTTAATCCTATCCAATCTAACAACATTCAAATATAAATTTAATATTTTCTAAAAGAAGATAAATAAATCTAATAAAATAAATCAAATTAGAAATAGATAAACTCGACTAACAAACATTTTAAGAATGAACTCAGCTTAGTTCTATTATGGCATATGGCCAATTAGGCTTTGTGAGATGATTTAGTCTAAATAATCCACCACCAACAACAAGCCTTTATACCACTATCTGGGGTCGGCTACATGAATCCTTTTTCTCCATTGTGCCATGTTAAGGGTTAAATTCTAATCTAAATCTAATAAAGAAAGGTCATTTATAATATTTTGTAACCAAGTTATTTTAGATCTATCTTTACCTTTCTTAATATAAGTCAAATCAATTACATCTACTTTCCTAACCGGGTCATCGAAAGGCTGCCGTTTTATGTGACCAAACCATCTTAGGCGGCTCTCTCTAATCTTATCTTCCACTAGAGATACTCCAACCTTTTCACGTATATGCTCATTTCGTATCATGTCTTTAAGAGTAAAGCCACTCATCCACTTGAGTCCTCATCTCTGCAAAACTTAATATTATGCTTCTCTTTTAATGACCAACATTCTGCACCATAAAGCATTGCAGGTCTCACTACCATCTTATAGAATTGTCCCTTAAGTTTGAGAGGGACATTTCTATCACATAACAAGCCCAATGGATTCCTCCACTTCAACCATCCAACTTGAATTCTTCCAATAATATCCCCATCTATTTCACCATCACTCTGAACAATAGACACAAGATATATAAAATTTATGCTCTTATTAATGACTTGATCGCCCAAAGTCACAATCCCCCCACTAGATCTTATATTACTAAAATTGCATTCCATATATTCAATTTTAGATCGACTCAAACGAAAGCCTTTAGATTCTAAGGTTTAGAATGACCTCCATAATTCAAGTTTACCTTCAACTCCCTCTCTAGTCTTATCAACAACAAGAATATCGTAAAAAAAAAGCATACACTAGGGTACAACCTTTTGCAAATGTCTAGTGAGAACATCCATGACTAAAACAAAAAGATATGGGCTTAAGGTTGATCCTTGGTGTACTCCAACTGAAATAGGAAAATACTTGGTCAAACCACCTTGTTTTTAACACAAGTAACAACTTTAAATAGTCCAAAAAAAAATCCAAGAGATAGAGGCTAACTTTTGTAGTTCATCCATGGTAATCCAAGTATCATTTGGAAGAGGCCAACCTTCCAATCGACCAAAAACATATGCTTGCCATTTTTCCCAAGTATAATTTCATTTGAAATGAACCTTTCAACATCCAAGTAATCAATCCGAATTGAAATGAAGGGATATGTATAAGTAACAGCTGCACTAGAAATCCTGCCGTAGAAGAATCAACAAATGATTTTCAATGTTCAAGCATTTCTCAAAAGATCATATCTTCAATAATTAACATAGGACTTATAAATACATCAAGAGAAAAATCTAAAATATAAATATTAGAATTGATTTTCCCACTAATTTAGAAAGGACCACAAACTACTGCATACAATTTCTTATGCCTAGTTTGCACAAAGTTCTAAAATTATTAAGGTGATTAATGAATAATTAAATATTTTAAACAAAATTAATTAAGCTTGATTGATGATATGATCTAAAGAAATTTGGTTAATGATTTTTAATATAAATTCTAAATGTGATTAAGATGTATCTAAGGAAAAAAATGTATATAATAGTTATTACTCAACATTTACTTGTAATCTAATTAATACTTATAATAAATTATAATATATGTAAGCATATAAAAAAAGGGGATATGAGGCAAGGGGTCTCAAATGGTAGAGCACCGAAAGAGCAAGATAAGGGAGACAGCCATAGAATGATCGATGAGGGCATCGTATAATGATGTATCTCACAGGTGCCCATTTTTGGAAGTTATCAATGTATTTAATTTATGATTTATAAGATAATGTATGTTTTAGTCTATGATTATAGGACATCAATCACTATAAGAGTGAAGGAATTATAGATGATTGCCTATACATGAAAATGAAATTAATTGTAATAAATTTATTAAATTATCAAAGAATATGAATGTATGTCTATGTATTGAGAAATCCAAAAGAATTTTAGCATGCATATGTCTTATGCTTTAATTTGGGATTGATTTATAGGAATTGAAGGACAAATTCAATAAGTAGTACTTTTACATCTAAAAGTAGGTAATTTCATTTCCAAATGGGAGTAATGTTCCTTTATTCGAATCTAGATGCATCAAATTAATTTAGTTATAATTTCTGCTCCTTTATATGATTAAATATGAAATGATATTATCTTTTTTGAGAGTGTAATTATAAATAGCTTTTTGATTACATATTTATTCTTATTGCAATAGATTTGTCATATTGCCATGAATCACATGTATATTTCCATGTTTATAATTCAAGTTTACCTTCAACTCCCGCTCTAGTATGATCAATAAGAAGAATATCATCAACAAAAAGCAGACACCAGGATACAACCTCTTCCAAATGTCTATTGAGAACATTTATGACTAAAGCAAAAAATATGGGCTTAAATCTAATCCTTGATGTAATTTAACTGAAACAGGAAAATACTTGGCCAAATCACCTTGTGTTTGAATACAAGTAATAGCTATTGCATGCATATCCTTAATGGCTTGAATATAAGCACTCTTCTAGAACTCTTCTCTTGGAACTTTATCATATGTTTTCTCTAAATCAATAAATATCCTATATAGATCCCCATTATTCTCTCTATACTTCTCCATCAAACCTCTCAATAAATATATAGCTTCCATAGTAGACCTACCCGGCATGAATACAAATTGATTTTGAGATACAATAGTATCACGTCATTAGCTACGCTCCATAACTCTCTCCCATAGTTTTAAAGTAAGACACATTAACTTAATTCATCTATAGTTCACACAATCTTGTGCATCACCTTTATTCTTAAAAATAAGAATCAATACACTCATTCTCCACTCATTTGACACATTTTATCTTCAAAATGATATTAAAAAGTTTAGTAAGCCAAGAAATTCCTTCATCTCCTACGCATTTCCACACCTCTATTGAAATATCATAAGGTTGGACAGCGTTTTCATACTTATTTTCTTTAAAGCCTTTCTAACTTAGGTTTTACTAATACACAGATAAAAATTGTTGCGTCTTGGAATATTCGCGGCGGTAGAGAAATATATAGTTTAATGTCTTAGCATTGTACGAAGATCCAGCACATAATCAGATAAGTGAGAGGGTGTAGCGTTCATAAGAGACACCATAGTTTTTATGTGGAAACTCCTAAAAAGGGGGGAAAACCACGGGGCCTGGCCCAGTTTGAATGAATCCACTAGTATTTGCAGTCGATAACAAATGAGGCCCTTCCTTGGGAGAAGGTCTTGGTTTGATGTCACAAATGTACATCATATAGAGTGCATTACATGGTGGGAGTTACAATATATGTGTTTGTTTTGTGGGCACGACCATAGTCGATAGGATGGAGGTCGAAAAGACCGTTGTCTGGTAGGCGATGGAGATAAGAAGGATCGTAGTTGGCAGGAGACCGGGGTCAGAAAGATTGTTGTAGTAAGACGGTACTTTGGTAGAACTCTGAACGTCAGGTGGTGGCCTAGCAAAAGTCCAGGCCTCAGGTGGTGTCCTGGTGGAGCACAGGGCCTCAAGTGGCAATTCGGTGGAAATGAGGGCCTCAAGTGGTGGTCCGGCAGAGCAACCGCGTCAGGCGGTGATCCGGCGGAGGTGAGGGCCTCAAGTGGTGGTCCGGCAGAGGTGAGGGCCTCAGGTGGTGGTCCGACGGATGTGAGGGCCTCCGATGGTGGTCTGACGAAGATGAGGGCCTCCGGCGGTGGTCCGATGAAATGAGGGCCTCCGGCAGTGGTCTGGCAAAGGTGAGGGTCTCCAACGGTGGTCCAATGAAAGTGAGGGCCTCCGGCGGTGGTTCGGCGGAGGTGAGGGCCTCAAGTGGTGGTCCGACGGACGTGAGAGCCTCCGGCGGTGGTCCGACAAAGGTGAGGGCCTCAGGTGGTGGTTCGGCGAAGCTCCGGCAGTGGTTCGACAAAACTCCTGCGGTGGTCCGGCAGTGGTCGAGGAGCTTCTTCCTTCTCTTCTTCATTCTTCTCTTCTTTCTTCCATCCCCTCTCAAGAGAAATGAGGGGTCTATTTATAAATTTATGGAGTGGCATGACCCATAAATAGGTGAGAGATAAAGGGTAAATGGGGA